GCGCCCGAGCAAGAACGAGAAATAGGCGATTAATAAACAAGTGACAAAGCTGCCATTGTAGAATAATAATATGTGATGCACATTGAGAAACATGTCCGATAACCAATTTCAGCAGAAACAATGAAATTGTTTTTCGAGTCAAGATAGTAAATCAACATAGTTAACTTGTAATTATTTGAAACAAGGACACTGCAGAGCAAAGAGTTAGCCTCTCTTGAAATTTTATGCAAGTTTTGATGTCAAAAGTGAACTGTGGATTCTGCGAATGGATTTTAAAGATCGAAATCATTTGCAAGTTTAGGAGTAATACAGATTTTCTGATCGTCTAGCGGTTGGAGCAAGTTGGTCTGTGTCAATTGACCCAGATTCAAGTCCCCTTGCAAACGATCGCTGGATCGAGCTTGTCACACATGGTTAGCCTAGTGTGGTTTACATCTATCCCCAATACATCTTAAGAAAAAAAAAGTAATACTGTAATAACAACTACCAAATGAGAACTTACTGTGAAAGACTCATGATGTGGTAAGTCTCGTTGCCACCATAGAAAGTGAGGATGGGGGTGGAGGCGGTGGAGGCAAGGCGGCGGCCCTTGAAGAGCTGATCACGGTGGGCCATGGCGGCATAGTAGTCAACGGTGCCCTTCTCCGGCAACCCATCCACATTCAAGAATTGCATAACCGTGTCGGAATATCTGTGGTGGATGTCGAATCCGAACGTCCCAAATGCTTCGGTGCTCTTCGCATTAATCCAACACGTAAACGCTATTAGCATCAGACAATTCCCAAATAGTGATTTCTTAAAACACATGTTCATTATAGGAGATGAGTCAATGGAGATGAGAATGCAAATTGTTGAAGATAATGCAATACATGTATTATAAGAGAAAGAAATGAAAGTTGAACATGTCGACAAAAAGAATGAAAGAGTGCTTGACCAATTCAAGTACAATTAAAGAGCATCATCATCATCACCAATATCATATTCATAATATCATATGTTCGTTTCCTTTGTATAATCTGTTTGTACAAAGTCCACATTTGTACAAACAATATTGTAATTTATAACTGGAATAATATTGAAATATTGTACTTATAGTTAGTTATATTTAGGGCTGGCACATTGGTTTTTATGCACCAACCGATCCATTACTGATCATATTTTTAAGCGGATAGTATTTTTTAATCGACCTATAGGATCGGGTCGAAAATTTCAACCAACGCATCTACAATGGGTCTGTTGGTGGTTTCTAGTATTATCAAAGTTGGTTGACCAATAATAACCAGTCAACCAACTATATTATTAAAATTTTATTAAAAAATATATAATTAAGGCTTAATTACTTTGAAATTCTTACTTGTGTTTTTTGTCAGATTACTATTAATTATTTTGAATTGATAATAAATGATGATCGTGCAATGACATGACGTATAATGTGCATATTTTTACTAAAAAAATTGATATTTTTTTAAGTAAACTAGGTGGCGGGTACAACCCATCAACCAACCCATACCAAAATCAAATATTCGGTTTCCAACCATCAACCGACCCACAAAGGTTAGGTCGGCAACGGTTTTCAAATTTAAGAAAAATTGGTTTGTCGGATGGATCGGTTTTTAGGCTGGTAATCGACCGACCCAACCCAGTCCCATCCCTAGTTATATTATATATATCCGACATATTAAATTAATAATGACAAATTAAAAAATAATTTTATTTTGTAACATTAAAAAATGTAGAAAATAACAATGTAACAATTTATATTACAAAATCAAATCAAAGATACTAAAAAAGGAAATCAAAATAATAAGTTTATTCGGAAATAAATGTGTTGTATTAAAAGTTATTAGATGATACACCCAAGACTATAAAAACATTAGACAAACATCCTTTTGTGAAATAGTGACCATAGTACCCTTACGGAGACAATAACGGCGTTTATTTTTAAGTTTGGAAAAAAAAAAACTAAATCCCACCAATCCCGCCACCAATAATCTGTGAGATTATATTTTCCAAAATCACAATTAACCGTAACAAAACAAACCCACTATCCCCCCAATTCGACCCATCTTCTACAGATTAGGGTTTTTTTTTCCTTTTATGCTGCCCATATTCTCGTCGACGAGCAACATCAGTGCTTCCAAAAAGGTAGCCGCAAGTATAATCTACCGATGTCTACGTCAAGAAACCGATCAAGTAAGTTCTAATGTTTGTTGATTTTGTTGTAATTTTGTTATTTCTGGGTTTTTACCATATTGAACGAACAGGGGAGATGCGTACGAAGCGGAAAGAAGACATAACTGCCCTAGACCCTGGTACGATTCAAATCATGAATATTCTGTTTATGTGATGTTTAATAATTTTGTGGGTTCCTATGTATTCAACCATAAAAATCATGGAGTCTACTGATTCAAACTTTGCTCGGAAATAATGTTTTCGGACAAAAGGTTCCAATCCGTTGTTGGGTACTCGCAATATGTATTCTAATATGTTTCATGACTCCTGGGTGTCGTCATATAGTACATGTAGGTCCAGATTTGTGTGATATCAGATAGTTGGTGTACAAAAGTATGCGTATGTCTATAGTTATCTGCGTACATCTATGGTTATCTGCGTATGTCTATGGTTATCTGAGGAATTACAATTCATTACTATGAAAAATAAAAGTTGTAGAACTGTCATTGAAGTTTCGAGAAAAAGTGATTCCCTTCCGTTGGACGTTTTTTCTATGTAACAGTAACATTATTTGTAATTTTGTTGCTAATGATTCGTATTTTGCCTTCTACTGCTATTTGAATCTGTGTTTCTATGGCTTTCTACGAGTGCATACATTGTATTGTCTCATAGTTTCTATGGAATTCTGTCAGTTGCATATGAAGTATAATGGTCTCACATGACTTCAATGGATATGTTGGTACAGCTATGTCGGAGACATATAAAACAGTTGCAATTATATAATATATAATTCCATGTTTAATTGATAATACTGCTCAAGATTTTGTATTTTTGACTCGTTGCATAGTACATGTAACTTTGTGATATACTATGTGAATCTATGATATTCTATGGTTTTCTGGCAATTGCAAAATTTTCCATCCCTTAATATACATATATTTCCACTATAATTACATTGCATATGTATTTGTTTCTTCTCCAATTCCTGTGAACTTGATAAAAATTAAAGCGTGGTTTCTTATATTCGCAGGAGAAGCAATGAATGTTACGCGCAAAACGAGGAACAAAGGCGGTTACATATCGCAATTTAGGTCAAATTTGACGTCTACTGTGGCTTTCTTCGAAGGAGTGCACTTACACAATGCCCATGTAGAATGTCTGAAGAGAACCCCATTTTTCAACCTCGTAATACCGTTCGCAAAGCACAAAGTCACCGCCACCTCCGTCACAGGGACCCAAAATGGGTGCGTGGAGTTTTTTTGACATACAAACCAGGTGAAAACGCTTTCGAAATTGGTGGAAAGAAACTCAGTCCCCAACAGAAAGCTGGTTCCACCGATTGTGGTGTGATCGTGCTATACATAATTAGAGAATATTTTCTTCAAATGCCATTAGAGGTCAAAGAAGCAGAGGAGGGTGTTGCAGAAATGAGAAAGGACATTGTAGTACATCTTCTGAATTACAGAATCAATTAGCCATAAATAGTCTCGTTTTATATGTCTACTGTACGAAAACGAAACTTATGTAGTATTTATGTTTTTCCGCTCCAGTTTTAACTGTGTTGAAAAATTCAAAACAATCAGTTGTTCATTGACACAATATTTTATCTATATATGCCTTTTGGAAACTATCTTTGTTAATATTGTATAGTAGTGTATATTTGTGTATAGAAATACCATAAAAATGTCAGACCACCGTAGTGCAAACCATACTACATTCTTCTATGGTAAACTATGAAATACTACGGAAAATTGGAGGATCGCGTTAAATGACAGCCCTCCAAAACAAACTGTATTGTATTGTTCTAATGTGCTGTCATTCATGCAGTGCAGTGATGATAATAACTAAACAGTGCAATTAGATTATCTGTAAAACATAAACATGTATCATATTTTCACAAGCAACATATCATTTACAAACGGATAATGCATGAAAAACTTGAGGCAGATTCAATCATGCAATGTGGTGAACAGTATTATTGCATATTTTTTGTAATAGAACTAACAAAAAAACAAGATAGCACATGAAAGTGAAACGTCGCATAAATCCATCAAAAAAGATTACAATACGAACAATGATACCTATCTCACAACACATAAAACCATGAAATTAATTCAGATACATTATTTGAGTTTTGTTCGTTCAGTAATGCGAAATATTTGTAAGGTTGACTAACAAATTCGGCATAAGTGTACAAACTGTATTGATGTCAAAACATGAGTCCTCATATAAAGTTGTAACATACTACAGTTTTCTTTAGGATGTTATAGATCACTAAACCAAATTAAGATAAGCGCACTACGTGATAAAATGCACCAACACTGGCTGGACGGCATTTTTCTATGTTATGAAATTGCTGCAATGCTGTCAATATTGTGATCCAAAAAAATTAGAATACATTGCAATATTCTATGTAAAAATCGTAAACCTATATGACATTTCTGGAAATCATGTTTTCTATGCACAAATATACTGTACAGCAAACTAAAATACAACATTGCTCAAACATGAATCCTTATAAGTAACATTAAACATAAAATACTCTAAAAACAAATATATAACTCTGAACAGTAATAAAACATAAATCCATTAAATAAATAACAAACATTCATCAGGAAAAGAAAAAAAACCCTACTGAAACAACGCAAGACTTCCCCCATCATAAATCCATGAAAGAAACATAAAAAAAAGAAAACAAAGTCTATAAATCAATGCAAACTTGAAACATCCAGAACAAAACTCAAATCAAAACTACTGAATAGCCCTTGTGCACGTCTTTTTGTTGTGGGATCCCACCTGGTTGCATCGACTACACCTCATCCTCCTCGCTACGCTCTCACCCTAGAAGCAATTCTTTTCGTCTTTGGTCTACCACGTTTCGGCTTGAACTCAGGTGGACCAATGACAGCCAACGGCGGATCCGCAATAGGCCTAGCAAATGGAAAAATAGCTTTAGCATAACTTTGTTTGTATGACCAAACATGAAAGTAGTCTTCCACATAATTGTATCCTTCCGTGTTCGCTTTGTTTAAAACGCATGCAGCATGAGCACATGGGAAGCCGGAAATTTGCCACATTCGGCATGAGCAGGATGTGTTCAATAAGTCAACCACAGCAACAGGTTCACTCAATACCTCGTACACCGATTCAGATGCTTTCCTAGGCAACCATGTCCTACCTTCCTGCACCAATGCACCATAACGTTCTTCTGCCAGAGGACACAACTCGGTGTGCCAAGGCACCGCCGTATCATACCTCAAGCACATCTGCAGCATCAACAAGCTCCTAATGGCATCTATCATCTCCGTAATTGGTAACCCACGATATTTGAGCTAATCAGCGAATTCCAAGACTCTGCTAAATTTGAAGTCATCTCACCAAATCTCTGGCCAATAAAATGTGAACAAGCCCAGTTTTCATATGGCAGATCAACCAAGAAATTATTCACCCTCGGACCTCCATTTTTCCGAAAGTTCTCCATGCTAATATCAAACTCAGCACGTGTAGCAGCATAAGCACCTTTTCAAAAGAAACACGAATAAATATATAATAAACATTTACACTATATTGTTATGAACGACACAACACCATTAAACAACTTCAACTAGTTAGATATGTACATAATACTCAACTTACATTTGTTAAACTGAGCCACCATAGACTTCCGGAACAACGATGAACTCCCTCTGAACTTGTCTTTTAGGTTTCGTTGGAGATGAACCAAACAGTAAGAGTGTGCAGAGTCAGGAAATACATTCCTCACACCTTCCAAAATACCATGGTTTCGGTCAGAGATAAAAGTCAACGACCGATGGTTACCAATTGCTATCTTCAATTTCCTCAAAATTCTGAGATTACTGAAAAAAAATCGAACATTAAATGAAACTGCAATCAAATAGGTTACTACATTAATTTACTAAATTCTTTTTTCCATTCTAAAATTTAATTTTCAAATCTATAAGTGGATGTCGTAAAGACAAGAAAATGATAATTTTTTTTTTGAACAGACATCCAACCAACAAAAACAACAAACACGCGAAGAAACAATGATATCGATGACGAAGAAAATACCTACTTGAAAAGGAGAACAACGAACACTCTCGATTGTCTACGCTCAAGTTTAGCAGATTCAACTATGTATTGCTATTTATGAAATCTTCGCAGATTACAACTGTGTATTAATATGTATGAAATCTTCTTCACATCGTGCAGTATATTTAATGAGATTACATAAAGATACAATTAATATCACGATAGAACGTGATTGATACATAATTCCTATCTTCAAGGGACGTGATTTATTAAATAGACATAACGTTTAATACCGCTACATAAACGTCCGGTTAATATAAGGGTATTATTGGGATATTTAAAAAATAAAACCCTTATATCTTATATTTTTAGAATCTAGGGATTTAGTTACAAGGAAAATATTGGGCCCGTAACCCACATCTAATAAGGTTTCGTATGAGGGACTTGCAGCATATTAACCCTTTTTTTTATATGTACACGTGTATATATGTGTATATATGATTGTGCAAATTTATAATAGGAATAAACTTAAGTATATACCAATTTTAATATGTTTGATAAAGTAATTGACTAATACACATAAACAATTAAATGACAACTAAGCGATGTGGTGAAATGACGTAAGTAATTCAACACATGTCATTAATTGGGCAATAAATCCTCTTTTTATAGGGAAAACGAGGGATACCCCTAGTTTTGAAAATATATAGGGATTACAAGAAAAAAGACTTTTAACAACATGAATTTAACAAGATGCAGCTACCGCGTGTTGTGATATTGTATATTTAACAACATGCCTTTACTGTGTGTTGTTGTTAGCGCCGAAATAATATATTTTACAACACTCATATTTTTTGTCTTGTTAAAGTTATACACTACAAGACGCGGACGCATGTTGTAAATTTCCTGTTTACAAATTGCATACAACAAGCTGTTGCGCACCTTGTCGAATAATGTAAATGCAACAACAAACAAAACACGTTGTCGAATTATGTAGAATTTTATGTTTAAAATTGTATACAATTACAGCTCATTCGCTCATATTGTAACATGTAACAACTAACACAACATATTGTAGAAGTGGATTAATTTTATAAAGAAATATTATAATACCGTATAAGTTACTAAGTTAGTCCTTAATTATTTTTGGGTAAAAAATAAAACACTTATTTTATTACTATTTAGTTAAAAATGATTAAAGTATGACCTTTATTTATTTATTAGTATTATTAATGTTTTTTTTTTTTAATTTGAATACACAAATGTCCAACTAATGTGAGATAGAAACAAGAAAGCGTCTATTAAAAAACTAAAACGCTTTCATTTGGAACTAATTTATTCTCACTAGCGTTTTTAACTAAATATAAGGAAGAGCATAATCTTGAAAAATCACAAAACTAAAGTCTTGAAACTGCAAAGGGGAAGAAGCGAGTGAAAGAAAAATCTGTAAATGGAAGCCGGAAGGCCGTCTGGGATGAACGGTAAAGCTCTTGATTTTCGTAACGCATGGTCATCGATTCCTGTACGCTTTCGTTTTATTCGAAAAAAATGATCATTTTATCTATTTTTCCCCGTGTCGTGTTTTATTTTTATTTTATTTTTTTTGTTTTTTAGGGTTCTTATTTTTTGTATGTAAATTTGGAACGAAGAAGGTTGTTGATGCAAATTCACATCTCGCTCACTGATTCTTGCCAGGTATAATTGGGTATATGATTTTCGATCGATTATTTGTTTGATTTATGGAGAGCAGTTGGGCATATGATTTTCGATCGATTATTTGTTGGATTTATGGAGAGCAGTTGGGTATATGATTTTCGATCGATTATTTGTTTGATTTATGGAGAGAAGTTCTAAGAAATTTAGATGGGAAATTTGGGAAAGAGATTAGTAAATAGTAATAAAAATAGAATTTTGACTTAATCTCCCTCTGTTGGTATAACCCAATTGACTTGAATTTAGTAATTGTACATCATCTCGAGTTTGCAATTGTACAATTAACTTTTCAAACTGACCCCTATGAGTTTTAGAAAAGTTATATATCAAGGGCTGTATTAGAGGCGACCAAAGATTTTGATGGGTGAACACAACGCATATATTTCGATTAACTATCTCTTGATGAACTTTGCTTGGAGAGATACCGCTCTTAAAGATCAAGTATTCTTATAATTAACAAGTATTTTCACTTTTCATGTCGAGTAGATTTTATTATTATTTACCCTAACTGACAAAAAGCTACATACAGTAATATGTTTAAGTGATTACATTTTATATTAATTCCTCAACTGATTTGTGTATGAAATGATTTATATTATAATCCTAGTAGCCCCACCATGTCAATTTTTCATCCTAAATTCCTAACCATGAAACTCAAGCATTGAACCCCTGATTTAGTATTCTTAAACTCGGTACGTATGGGTATGCATACTTTAGAAATTGGAAAGAAGAATATGAGTCAATTGATTTTTTCCATGACATCTACTACTTCTTTGCCATAAAGATAGATGAATTATGGAAAAAGAGAGGTGGGGGATGCTTACGTGCACGAAGACAACAACTGGGTTTCTTATATCCATGTTGTTTATATTTTTCTTATCAATTAATATGCATTTGAAGTTCAACCTCAGCCAACAACGTAACAAGAGTGTCGCATGGTATGACTCATATTCTCCAGAAAATTCTCGTGTCCTTAAAGCCTACTATAAAGTATCCAGATCTTGTCGTATAGCTTGAAAATCAATTGTTGTAAGTAGTTTTACGGTGATGATATCACACTAATATCTGATTTTATATCAATCATCTTTATGCCCTATATCTCCTTCGGGGGTAACTCTAATATGTAGATATGGTGAATCATTTCCTGTCTTGGTTGAAGCTCTTGATATGGCTTTTGCCAACTATGGTGATGTTGTGTTTCTTATTTTTATTTTTAGTTGCATTAAGAGCAAGTTAATATCTTATTGTTTGTACACTTTACAAGGTGAGTTGTTTTCTTTACTTTATATATTGATATTTGTATTACAAGAAAATGTGAATCGTTTCTACTTGTATAGGTTTTTGCTTGTTGTTAATATTATGCTATGGACTGATTGAAAATGGTGGGACTACAACTCGTATTTCATGCTATAGAATTGAAAAGACAGTAAATATGGTGGTACGTGGATTCTTTTAAGAGGTCTTTCAGTCTTAAGACCGTTTTATAGTGTTTCTATTATAATTGTGATATGTTTGATATTGTTGCATGCCCGATTTCAGAGGTGTATGTGGAGAAAGCAGAAGCACTAGGAATAGAGAGATATATCGTAATAAAGCACACCGTGACATTGTGCGACTGTGCAAGTGTTCTAGAGGGCTATTCTATGTCCTCTACCATAGTTCGTTCGTTTGCTATTGAATATTAGTTGGGATTTGGCATATCATAGAAATACATTGAATAACTATAGGTTTTTTATGAATGAATTACATTTTGTTTGATTTCACTATTGTTTATATGCTCATTTTAGTAGCTTTTCTTTTCTCATAATCGACATGTTTGTACTTTAATAAGTCTAGAATACTTTCGAGATTCTTGTTTTGATAGAAGGATTGATGCCGGACTCGGAAATTAACTTCAGTTATAGCAATGTGGTAAGTATTAATATAGTACATAAACTTTTTCTCTTACACATAAACTATCTCTTACATGATTGCTTATAGTCTAAGTGTTGCAGCTACGTAGCGAAACAAGATAAGAACTCTCTCTCTCTCTCTCTCTCTCTCTCTCTCTCTCTCTCTCTCTCTCTCTCTCTCTCTCTCTCTCTCTCTCTCTCTCTCTCTCGTATTTGTTTGTGAATTCAACCTTATTTTAGTAAAATAACCTAAGCTCTTTCTTCTTGACAGAGATGTTGGTATCGATGCCATGTGGTAGCTAGAGAGGTTAGCATCAATGTCCTATACAAGAGCTCTATTTTATTTTTCTTAATCAAACAAAATTTACATTGGGTTTTCTTGTTTATTGATCATTTTTTGTTTCGTTTGTGGAAGGCTAACAGTGATGTAGATGAGTTTATCACTTTTGAGAACTATAGATACTTTATTGTAACGAATAATTATTTTAATGAAATGATATTTTTTTTATGGATAATTGTTATTCAATTATTGTATTTCCAGTAAATTATTTGAAAATGGAAAATATTGATTTATTTATATATAGTAATTTTTTTTTTTGTGAAAGTAAGTAAAAATTACAACATGCATATAAATGTTGTTAAAATTCTATTGCAAGATGCACTGGTCTGTGGTGGTAAAACCAGCCACAACATGCATATGAATCTTGTGAATGTTATAGCGCAACATACGATGTATGTTGTTCTAATATAAACGACAACGCCGTTTACCACGTACTTTCCACGTTGTTATTATTCGGTCTCTTTTAACAACATGTTGGTCAACCACGTGCGCCCGAATGTTGTCGAAATAGTTTGACGACGTGCTTCGCGTGTTGTTAAAAGAGGACTTTTTCTTGTAGCGTTCAATGGATTTTTCTTCCCTAGACAAACATCCAAATTCTAATTTTAATTTGAGAGACCCTTGGACATATTGAAATACCCATTTTACTCTTTTAGTAACAATTTAAAGCCCTAAGTCTCCATCTCTCAACTCACGTTCTCTTCTCTCTTCCTCCTCCCACCACCGCCGTTTACTCTTCTCTCTCTCTCTCAAAAATAAATATCGTTCTCTTCTCTCTCCCTCCCTCTTCCCACTGTGGTTTTCTCTTCTCTCTCTCAAAACTCTCGTTCTCTTCTCTCTCTCACCTCCCACCGCCCCTTCCACGTCGCCTGCGCAATCTCCGCAGTATTTAATGGCGTTAACTATAAACGCTATAGAGCATAAGGAATCGCGGAAGAGAGGGAGAGAAGATAAATTAGAAGTAGAAATCAGGGTGAAGCGATGCCTCGTCATGGTGGAGAAGACAATCACAGGAAATCGTTTCCGTACGATTCGTCGAGAGATCGACGCTCGAGTCACCACAAGGTTCAGTGTTTTCCATTTTCGTCTCACTCAAAATTTGTTTCTCACTAGCAATCAATTGCTGCATATAAATTCAAAATTAATTTCGCATCTGTGGTTTCTTATTGGTGAAGAATATTGAAAAATGATTTATGTGTTCATCGTGGTAACTTGTTTGATGTTTATGTAAATATTTACCCTAGCAGAGAGTATAGAAATGTTTACAGAGTGTATGGTGATGAGTTTGGGCAGCTGTCAATAGTATATAAATGATTATACTATTGAACCTTACTATGCATGATCATATTTATATGCAGTAACATAAAGTAACATATGCACGTGACTGTGTATTTTTAATCTATATTTGCAATATAAATTGTTATTTATAGTCATATGTAAGATTCTGCTTTTTTTTTTTTTATAATTAAAATTTTACTCTCCATATACATACCTACAATTTTAAATTATAAGTATACATACCTCATTGATTCTCACTTTTTATTATCTGATTTTATTTGTCATCTCATTAATTCAGTTTCAACAACATACAACAAATCAAATGATTTTATGTGATAGAATTTCACTACGGTAAATAAATATTATTTTATTCAGCCACTTATATAACTATAAATAATTGTAGATAACTATAGTCACGTGTAGTAACATAAAGTTATATGTATGTTATGTGTTTTTTAATGTATAGTAATGTGTGTTCATGTTTTGAAGATTATATGCGTGTGATTGTGTTTTTTCATTTTTTTTCTTTTGGGTTAGTTGATTTACAATATTAAGATTAAAATTGTGAATTTTGTTATTGGTGTAGATTAATTTTGGGGTAAAAAGACAGTACATGATTACATATAACTATACATGATTGTGGGATACGATTTGTTCGACCCTACACCCGGTGAAAAACACCGGGTGGATCTTCTGCTGCCACGTGTCTCTTTTTTTGTATTTTATAATAAATTCCCCGCTAGGGTTTACCTTTAGGGGTTTTAGAAAAATAAAGAAAAGAACACGTGGCAGCAGAAGACCCACCCGGTATTTTTCACCGGGTGTAGGGTCGAAGGAACCGTGGGATACTATAGTTATGTGTAGTATACTATAGTAATGTGTAGTCAATTTCAATTCAATAAATTTATCAAAAAAAAATTAAAAAAAATTAAAAAAAATAAAAAATAAATAAATAAATAATAGGGTATATATAAAAAATAATAATACAATAAATATTTATATTTTTTTATTAAAAAAAATCTATAAAAATAGTAAATGCAGGCCCAAAATGCTAAATGCAGTTGGGCATTATGCTGAATGCAGGGGGAAAATATTGAATTTAGTTGGACGAAAATTGCACTTAAGGGCACAATAATACTTTTGCCTCTCCAGTGGTTTATCTCAAAGGAAGAATTTTAGAGAAGAACCTATCCCTATATATTTTTTATACTGGGGGTGTATATCAATTGGGCCATTTTTTATATTATGTATATATACAGATAGGTAGATAGATTATAAATCTTAATTTTTAGAACATTCAACGAAACTACATTTATATAGGAGTATTTTTTAAGGAATTGATGAAATCGGCAAGATAAGTTGTGAATTCTTTGATTTGTTAATTTTTGCACCTCTTGAATTCATCAGATGATTTGACGATTAAAAATCTATTTAACTAAAGAAAATTATCATAAAAAATAAATAAATCTTTATATATAAAAGTAAGAAATAGTAGGATAACTTAAAAGCATATTTTATAAAAAATTAAAATTCATTATTATATTATTATTATTTTCGCATCTTCTATTTTTCAGTTTTTTCTCCAATAATTTTTATAGCAAATCAGATTTGCAAATCAGCTAAGAAATTTAGAATCTACTCGATTAGTTTTATTTTATTTTTTCTTTTTTAAGTTTTGCGATTTCTTTGTAAACAATTTTTATGGTAAATATACATTTGAAATGTTAATTATTTTTAATGGATAACACGTCAATGGAAAAATTTATCAACATATGTAGAAGTCGAGTTATTTGATTAATTTATGTTTCTTTTTATTTAGTATATGTTTTCTATTGGAATTTATATAATCATAATTTCATAACTAATTATTTTAGTATGGTGTAAAAAAAAGGGAAAATTAGCAAGGATCTCCCAATGTAGGAAATCTAGTTAAGGAAAATCTCTCTCCCAAAAGTAATTAGAGAAAAACCCCTTAGCTAATATTTCATCCAAATAACATTTTTATAATTCTAAAACTACCCATATTTGATTATAATTATTTTAAACCTAATTACTTCTCACTTTTTCCAGACTTTTTTTTTCCTCTACGTCGTTTCTCCCACTCCTCTTCAATCTTAATATTCAAATCTCAGACTTCTCTCTCCACTCTCCGCCACCAACATGGCCTAAATAATGAACAACGTTTGTAATTCCAGGGCAGAGACTATGGCGACGAGCCGACGACGCGACGGAGGATCTCGCGCTCGCGAATACCCCAAGTAGCGTTCCCTTTACCCACAGTTTCTCGAGTTTGCGAAGATTTCTTCCATATTAATAAATAATTGGGGTTTTAGCATAAGTCCCTCACCAACTATCTTTAATATTTCAGGTTCAGCTCCTATATCTTTTTCGGCTATAAGCATATCCTTTTAATATGTACTAGTATTTTTTCCCCGTGCGATGCACGAGATCGTATAGTAAAGTGAAAAATAAATGATCAATTTAATACATAAAAAATATATCTTTATATATTTTTGTATCTAAATAAATAGGTTAATATTTAACAAATCTAATTTATATATTTATCTTTTAAGATTTGAGTGTATTAATAAAAAATAGGAGATCGGAGTTGTAAGGATTTTTCACGGTTCAGTTTCAATTTTGATAATTGTTGAAAAATATAATTAGAAAATTAGTACTGGAAAAAAATATTAGAAATAAATAATTACAGAAATGTCAATATAAGATTATAAATAAAAGTAAAATTAATGTATATGAAAAAATTACCTCCAACCCTTTAAACCCAATTCCTAATTGTAAGCCCAAACTTCAATTTTTTTTTTTTATCATTTTTTTTATTTCATGTTTTTTACGCTGCCGGTTTCCCGCGTTGACATGTTTGTTTCCTAAAATTTTTATCCATTTTTTTACGCCCGCCGTTGAACATTGATCGTAATTTTACTGTCATTGGTAGTAATTGTATTGTCGTTGACAGTACAATTACTGTAAACACAATGATATTACTTCAACCTCATCAGTATTATTATTTTTTGGATTTTTTTATTTTGTTTGATTAGTTGACCAGTCAATATAATAATATTACTGTCGTCGACGGTAAAATTAATGTAAACACAAAAATATTATCGTCAACCACATCAATATTAATTTTTATTTGGTTTGATTTATTGACCGATTAATGTAACAATATTACTGTCTACTATTTTATTATTACTGTAAAAATAATAATATTACTTTCGTTGAAGGTAATATTATTGTCGTTACGATATATTACTGTGGTTGACAGGAATATTACTGTCAACCACATCAATATTAATTCTTTTGGCTTTTTATGGTTGCCTTTGTTGAACGATCAATATATTAATATTACTAATTGATAAATGTAGTCCATCACTAAAATGGTGGTTGATTAATTGGTGCAGTCCATCGACTTTCAGTAATAATAGCCGTAGTTTCTCTAATGCATACAACAATTACAAACACACAGCGTGAATTATCAACCCAGAGTTGGTACCTAGCTTTTACCAATAGGGTAATAGTCTATGGTTCGAGTCCCCCCCTCCTCTACATTCTGTTGTAACGGACTTGAATTTATTAAAAAAAAAAAAAAAAAAAAAAAACACACAGCGTGAACAATGCAACCATATTTGTTCAAACAAATTATATTGTAGTTTAAGATGGATGAAACGACTTCATTTAAGATTTTCGATTCAATTCAGTTCAAGCGGTATGCTATTATGCTGGAAAACCATACACAAATCAAAATATTCGATTTTCCGAAAAAGAAAAATCCAAGGAATCATTTTTTTCCTAGGTTCGGTTCGTAGTGGATTAGATGCATGGGATAACACATAAAATAAATTAATATAACATAATATGAAGAAGAAAAAAAA